GACAGTGGTGGGTTTGTTGATCCGCTCCCCAAATTTGCCCCAGAAACTATTCAGCATGAGCTTGGCGGTGGCTTTACGACCGGGGTTTTTGGCAATACTGGCAATATCCAGTCGGATGCCTTCCCGTTCCTGGTAACGAAGAATGTAATTGCGTTTTTGCTCGAGGGTCTGACACCAGCTGGGCCATCCTGCCGATTCTTGTTTTAACTTGAGCCAGGTGTTGACGTAATCAGCAAAAAGACCCGTTTGACGTTGTTCAGGGGGAAAATGCCAGACTTCATGAATCTTGATCAGCGTGTACCCCTTTTCGACGGCTTTGACCAATTCGGGTGTACACCAGGTACCGCGTAGCATACGATCTGCGTCAGAATGAGGACAATAGTGGGTTCGGGTCAACATGGGTTGGGCTTGCTCGGTCTGAACACAGGCGCGGCAGAGAGGAAACGTGAGCTTGTTTCCGCTGCGCACGGGTAGAACAGGGTGGAATAAACCAGTGGGAGGAAGAATATCCACGGTGGCGACACCAAAGTAGGACTCCAGGGACTGGTCAGTGGGTTGCGTGATGATCCGTGGATGTCCGATGGGATAGGGACAATTTTTGTTGACCCATGGATACAAGGAGGTCACATCCACATAGCGTATTTCCTCACCTTCTCCAGCCACAGCATGCAAAGCCACCGCACCGGTTCGGCCCCCAAAGAAGGCTTCACGGGGTTCTAAGGGTGCTGCCAGATCGAAGGAATGGAGAAACCGTTGGACGGTTTCATCGGTGTCCACCCATTGGTCCCATTCACACTCCCACATTTCAAGGACCGTGTAGCCTGCTCGGAGCAAGATCGTGCGTTTGGCGAGCGTGGCTTGATAGAGTTCCTCCACGGTTCGATCCGGTGTGGCATAATGTTTGGCGGTTCTCACGGGATAACAACGGGGACAGCCATGATAGAGACATCCATGAAATTCGTAGACAGTGCGGGTCACAGGATCGTAGCCATCCACAAAATAATGATGGGCGCTGGTTCGGATCGACTGTTCGCCCCCATTACGAACATGACGAATGCGGTCAGCACTGGCCCCCTCTTTGGGAAGGAGGTGTTCTTGATAATAGAGCCATTGCAGGGCTTTGAGGGATTGATTGACGTGGGCCCCTCGCCAACCCCCCAGAGGTTCCACCGCAATGGTATCGGGGGTCAAATGATGCTTGCGCCAATACAAGTTGCAGGCACTGGCAATGGTGATACACTTGGCCATGGGGTTGAAGCCAGCCTGCTGTTCGAATTCCTCTTGAAAGGCTTCACACCCCGCTTTCAATAGAGCCACATCCGATTTGCAATAGTCAATCATGTCTTGCTGGAAATTAAACGTGACATTACGACGGACTTGATCGGCATGCCAACGGGTCAGTTCGTCTTTCTTTTTGGCCATCATGCCGTCGGGATCGTAAAATTCCAGATCAGGGATGCGACCCACGTACTGTTGATGATCGGGGGTATTGAACAAATGAGGAAAAAAACCTTTCTTTAATTCGGTTAAATTGAAGGTACTAGGAAAAGAGGCCAGCGGCATAGGCAAGAAACATAACGAGTCAATGAATTTGAGGGGTCCACTCTTGAACGACAACACTTTAGCTCCCACAGTCAGTTGATCCACCACCTCGCGTTGTTGCTGGTACAATTCATGGAGAATAAACATGCCATCGAAGCCTTTTAAATTATGAAACACCACGAGAATCTCCCGCTGATCTTCACAGTCAGGCACGTCCGTGAGATCATCCAAATCACGCAAAAATTGGAGGGCACAGTCCTCCCCGTTCAATACATGGATGGTGGTTTCGACACTAGACGAATAACACAGTAAATTAGCCACAAACACCCCTTCTGCATTCTGCATGGCTTCGAAATCTGCATAAACAAACAGGGGAGGGGGTGGCGCCACCATGCGACCTCCCCCCTCCTCTGTCGGTTCAGTCTCCTCTGGCTCTGCCGCAGGCTGAATGTAACACTTGTGGTCTTGAATAGGCACCCATTCCTGACACACAGAACATTTGGCGTACCCGCACTGATGACGTTGGTGGCGGACGACTGTGTATTGGGCTTGACACTTGGTACAGCGTTTGATCGATTGACATTGGTGGCTGACTTCATGATAACGTTTACATTGATGACCGTAAAACTTACGGTGACACAGACTGCAATACTCGGTGGGGCGGGTGCCAACCACATACTCCGGACAATCAAAGCGCTCACAAGCACAACAGCGTCTCCCTTGACAAGTATGATGGGATCGATCATCGGTGTTGAACCCTCGTTCACAGTCCAGGCAATAATAGGAGCGATTGACAAACGCGGGAAAGGACGTGCAACCATCAAAATGATCATTGGATTTCAGTAAACGAATCTGATGAGGGGCGGCGGGGCCTTTGAAAATTAAAAAGAACGGTTTCATCCGGGTCATCACTAAGAGTTGATAGTGAGATCCCAACGCTTGTTGAAACTGACGAAGCTCGGGGATGCCACAGGGACCCTCCGCAACACCCGCTTGCTGATGAAGAGCCTGGGCTTGACGTTGTTGCACAGGAAGTCCACGTTTGAGATTCTCCCAGTCGCGAAACCCGTCCACGCCTTGATCTTTATGGCAATGAGCACGCATGGTGACAATGGCGCGGGCACAACATAAAGTATCTCTATTTTTGATGGCGACAATGCATCTCTTTTTCTTGTTGACCCGATCCAGGCATAAACGGCCGGCATTGCGTTGTTTATGTCGACCGGACCCTGGGCCAGGCATGGAGACAAACACCACATCCACTTGGAACCCACGATCGGGGTTGAAGGCTTCATTGCTGTTCAATTTTCCGGCCAAGGTGGCCAACATCTCATCCAATCGAGCCGTGCGTTGTAAAAATTCTCCCACAGTAAAATTGGCGGTTTGATACGCGTGAGTGAACCCATGCGCTGTAATAGCAAAGTTCACAAAATGATGGGCAGGTCGCTGCTCGCGGTCGAGTTCTGTTTCAATGGCTTGATGCAAGGCTTCCGTGAGGGCCATCCCAATATTATCTCCAGGACCAGGATCCCGCAATTGACGCAATTGCGCATTGAATTGCGCCCGCTCCACCACATTCCGCCAGCGGCGTCGTCGACCAATAGGTTGCATAATGAACTGAAAGAGAGGGCCTCGAGCGGGAACGGCTCCTCCCAATTGTTCCCACTGGTCATAAGCGCGGTTTAATAGAGCTTCTTCCTCCTCATCACTGTCAGGATACCAGTGGTCCTCCGCCATGACGGAGGAGGCAATTTGAATTTTCCCGCGCCAGACGCGGACTTTTATAGACCCAAAAACACGTGATCAGATGAACAGGGATTGGTGGATTCGGCTCAGGTGAGAGTCAGGTGAGGGTCAGGTGAGGGGTTGATTAGACAGGAGGAGGATTGAGGGGGGTGCCCCCCATGGGTACAGATTTTTCTCGTCCCCGCTGAGCCTGGACCGAGAGCGGTGATTGGTGGAAGGAATCTTAGATATAAGCCAACGTTCAGACCAGACGTCGGTTGCGTTCGAGACATGCCGAATCGAGATCCTGAGAAAGTGAAAGAAGCGAAACACCGGTGGTACCTGAAACACAGGGAGAGGATTGTGACACAGAAACGGGAGAAGCGGGCGGCTCAGAAAAAACTCAAACCGCCCAAACCGCCCAAACCGCCTCCGACCCAGGAACAGTTGGCCAGAGCTCGTGAATTGAACCGGTTGGCCTGTAACCGATACCGATCCACACACGGAGACCAAGTACGGGCACTCAACCGTAAATACTATCATCGACACCGCGATAAGATCGTCCAACAGCAACGGGACCGTCGTGCCCGAGCTCGAGAGACACCCAATCCCTTCCAAAAATTGCAAGCCTTAGCCGATGAGTGCGCTGCCCGTTTGCTGGAGATTGAACATGGATACACCAGGATCGCGCCAGCCCCCCAAACCAAGGAAAAAACGGGACCCTGTAAAAAACAAAGCACAACAAAAAGCGTATCGGCAACGTCTATATGCCAAAATGAATGGAATGGAGGATATCAAGGCCCTTCACCGTCGCCGCTACCATGAACGAATGGCTCGGTTGAAAGTCAGTGGTGAGTACGATGCCTTCAAAGCTAAAAAATCTCAAGAGGGGATGCAGCGCTACTACGGCATGAGCAAGGAACAGCGGGAGGAGGTCAAGCGTAAAAACGCCCAGTGTCAGAAAAACTGGCGGGAGAAAATGAAAGAGCGAGGGACCTACCAGGCTTATCTGCAACGGACCAATGCCCATCGACGAGAGCAGGCAGCCCAGAAAAGAAAAGAGTTGGGCGAGGAAGGGTGGAAAGCATTGCAGAAAGAACGGTACAACAAGCGAATGGAAGCCATTCGACGTCGAGAATGGTCCTGGTTGGACGAGGAATTAGAGCGTCCCTTTCCCCTCCCGTGGTTGCCATTGGACTTGCCCCTAATTGTACCTAATGAGGACAGTGTGCAAACCCTTCGCGCGGAGGCCTTGCAAAAAATGGACTCGTACTTGTAAGAACGAAAGTTTAATTAAATCATGTGTATTGGGCTATTGAACATAGTGTCTTGTTTTATGACTAAAGGGGGTTTACATGCCGAATCGAAGTTTGGCTTTCATAATGCGTCTCACAATACGCTCTGTTAAATTTTTACTACCGGGGAGTTGATCAATCTTGGCAATCATCTTGCGATCCGCTGCCCATTTGTCTTTCAAATTCTTGGCTTTGTCATAATCGATGTCATGAGCTTTCGCAATCCTGTCCAACCGGTTGATACCGGGATCCCCACGGGCCAATCGTTTCTTTAAATGGGTGCCAGGGCCCATGTACTGATAACCAGGCCAATGAAATTCAATACCGGTCTTGTTAAGGAGGTTCTGCACATCAAATAACTTGCCGCCCCGTTGCGAGCATCGTCGTCGTCGCTGCCTGGCTCGGGAACGGGGTGGAGCACGGCGTTTGCGTCCCATCTTAGGGGGTTTTCCACGATTTCCAATCCAAGGCTTTTTTGGCCCAACCAGCGGCTTTCTTTTTGGCGACGCCCGCAGCTTTCTTTTTAGCACTGTCCGCGGCTCTTTTGCGAATCCCGCGCTTGAATGATTGCGTAATGGTGTCTGCACGTTCTTTAGGGGTTTCCCACGGTGCTGTTCCAGGCGCCTCGGAAAAGGGCAACTCTTCCGCCAATTCTTCACTGCTCAACGGGGTCGTAAACTTGAGTTTCTTTTTGGCACTGGGCGTGAACCTTGGTTTAGGCGGGACAGGGGGTTTTCTGGGTCCACCAGTCGGGGTGCCTTGTTTTATACCCTGGGTGGCCTTGACCAATTGCGTGAACCAGGCTTGCATGGGACCCGCCTCAAAATCATCGTCGCCCGGGGTGGTGGCCCCGGCAGCAGTCACACCCCCAGCAGCGGCTCCAAAGGGTTGGCGCACTTTTTTAGTCCAATGGCGTAATTGACGGCTGACGGCTTTGAGTTGAGGCCGTTTCCAAGCATCGGGGGCATCACTGGTCAGAAGTACATGTTGTTTGGCGGCCAAATCGGCGGCTTTGGTCAAGCGAGTGTCTTCCACCAATTCTTGTTTGTACTGGTCTCGTAATTGCAAAAAAGCCGGGGCGTTGTTCACCGTGGTGCTGACCATCTCGGGTTCCATAGTGCAACTGAGGGGTCGGGTCTAGCGCATGCAACGTTTATAACATCGGTAGAGTTCCGGCCAGAGGGCACCCCCTTTTTGAGCCATCATGATAGCGCGTCGGCGTTTGACAGAATGGGCGGGTTTAGCCATAGCGCGTAAACTCTGGGCGTGGGGTTTGAGTAACGTGATGGTCTGCCGGGAACGGGGCACTGTACCACGGAGGGTATTCATCACCAATTCACTGACAGCATTGATCTGATCCGCATTGGCCATCCGCAACAATTCTTGTCGTTTGTGTTGATTGGCTTCTTGTAAGACACTTTTTAAGAACGGGGCTTGACGTTCCATGCGCCACCCCATGATGAATCTTGAGTTCAGGCAACGACCAAGGTCTATTTATGGTAAAAATGGCGCCACACCGACCACACAATTCGCCATGATAATGCCGTTGCATGTGATGTCGACACCGGGCACACAAAGCGGCGTCATACTGGTCATCCCAATCCAACGCAAACGTGACGGCTTTGCGTTGAGGGCGTTGAGGGTTAGTCTGGGCGTCGTAGTCGGATTCTGGGTTTGTATTTCCTGAGCCACAAAGGCGAGAGAGCCATTGCCAAAAGCGGTAGCTTAGCGCCACGTTGGTGTCCACGTCGGCGGCGTCGTTTTCGAGGGACATAACGATGTCGGCGACCGTTGGGTCCACGGACCATCTTTTAATTGACCCCTGTTCAGGCTCACGAAGGTCTTTTTATACATTTTCACATGATGGAACAATTAAAGGATTCCCCCGCATATTTTTTCCGTTTGCCTGAAGCCACTTCCCGTCGACGTTTTTCACCAATTTTGATGGCACGCTTGGTTTGATGCTCCCCGATGGCTTTGGTACCAGCATAACCGGCTTTGAGAATGCCTATAGGCAGGCCAGGCGCGACACCTCCTACTTGACTATAGGTCACACGCCGCGGTCGACGTCGTGTCGTCCTGCGTTTACGTTTCCGTCCCATGACGACTCGTTTGGAGAGCGGAGCACCGCGAGTCTCTTTTTATACATTCACATCAAACTGCACCCACCCACTTTTTTGGCATACCCCTTCTTGACCAACCACTTGTTGTACGAGTCCTTGCTGCCACTCGCGCGATACTGGCGTTTGTAATTGGCCACTCGTTGTTTGTCCGCCTTGACGTCGGCTTTAGAAGGAATCTTCCACATAGCTGGGTCTGTCAACAACTTAAAGCCTTTTTTGACATCCACAACAAACGGCGCCTTCCCACCCTTGATCCTCCGTCGACGTGATGATCGTCGAGTCGTGGTGCGTTTGCGTTTGCGCCTAGGAGCCATCGCGTGTCGACAACAGCCACACATTTTTGGGACGATGGAAGGGAGGTCCCTGTTTTTATATACTACGACCTCGTCCACGGGCTCGGCCCCGTCCGCGTGCTCGGCCACGGCCCCGTCCTCGGCGTGGTGGTCGGGGTGGACTTGGGCTGGAGGTTCGGGTGGATGTGCGGCGCACCGAGGGACGACCCCCCTCTTCATACACGGTGGTCACCGTATTGGTGTGCGTGATGTTGCGAATCCGTCGACCTCGTGCCCGTTCTTGAGCATCTTCATTGAGCAAATCCAACCGTCGCCTTAATCCTCGCCGTCGATCGTCATCATCATCATCGCCATCCTCATCATCGGACGGAGGGGACGAACCGGGGGATGGTGGGGAGGGCACCCTGGGGCGCCGTCGCGGTTGTTTGGCGGCGATGGTGGGGCGTCCCGTGGGGGTCGTCACGGTCGAGGTAGTGGTCCTGGTCCCTGCCCCTGCACTGCGGCGGCTGGTGGAGGGACGGGAGGGGGCGGTGGTGGTCGTGGCGGTCGTGACGGGTCGTGGTCGACTGGTGGTAGTAGTCGTGGTGGGACGAGTTCGGGTCGATGTGGTGGGACGGGTTGGGGCAGCCGTGGTAGTGATGGGGGCTGTGGTGGTGGTGGTGGCGGGGGCCGTGCCAGTGCCTGCCACGGGCGGGAGCGTGAAGGCATTCAAGGCATCATCCACATTGACCGGGTAGGTCAAATTAAAATCCTCAATGTCTTGATTCAATTGGTCCCGATCCACGGGTCGAGACAATTCGGCCACCATGTCCGTCATGCTGCTGAGATCCCGAAGGACCGAAGGGGAGCCCACACCCGCGGGCGACAGGGTCGGTGGTGGGTCCATGCGAGCGGCTAACTCAGTATGTTGTCCGCCTTCTCTTTGCCGACGAACCCTGGCGAGTTCGCGTTGCAGTTCGTTTTCGAACGGCAGGGACATCCGCACGCAAAGTGTGGACTTGGGCCTTGCCTTCTCGGGGCGTTAAATGACTCCACAGGCGGTAGCGATCATCCGAGGCTGGATGCACATCCAACATCAAATAGCCAAAAGGTCGAGCCGTGATGCGTTTAAATAGGCGCAACACTTGACGCCACCGATCCGGAAAGGCTTGCAATAAAATGGTCCGAATGCCTGTTTGATCCCGAGGGTTTTTGAAGGCCACAATGTAATGTGCGTTGCGATTAATGGTCTTGGAAAATTTGCCAGGCGGGAATAAATCTTGCGTCAAATACAACACCGTGATGTTGCGATGATGCGAATCTTTGGTGAACAAATCCAACACGCGCTTGTCTTGTCCCCCTTCTTCCATCAGGTCGTCCAAGACCAACACCCCGCCGCGCGTTCGACCAAACCATTGCGTCAAATGACGTGGGTCCGGTAACCCGCGATAAAATTGAATTCCATCTTTTTGCTGCATCCGCTCGAACCGGGGTTGCCAACGATCATAGGCATACACAATCTTGCGGGGTTTGACTTGAAACACGTTGAGGTACCGTAACCATTGTTCCACCAAATCTGTCTTGCCACTACCCGAGGGGCCCGCGATAATCACACTGCTGGGTTGTCGGATCATGATTCCCACGGACGAGGGTGACGTCGATAATGACCGGTGGCCCCTTTAGCACCCATGCGTTTATACCGTTTGTCCCGTCCCAATTTGTCGCCGATTTTATAGGCTTTGGCCAACACGCTCATGATGCCTCGTCCGTTTTGGCGAAAGTAGGGTCGTCGGGTGCCCTGTCGTTGTCGTCGTCGTTGCCGTCGTCTGCGGTGGGGCATTCTGTCCAATACTCGCGATACACACGTGGCGATTCAGACTGGATCAGGCCTTCCATGATCTCTCTTAAATACGTTTCGCTCATACTGTCCATATACTGTTTTAAGGACACCCAGTCTTGGTCTTGCGCCAATTGTCGGGCTACTAACCAATGATACCCATCCCACGCGTCAATCCCTCGCACCGTGTTGACCCGTTCGATGGGGTGTTCCCACCAATACAAGGTTTCTTCGAGAATGAACGCATCCACAATACGCTGGACATCGCTTCGCGTAATCATCATGAGAGACAAATGACCACTCGTTCACAACACATCTCGTTTTATGGTTTTATTAACATGCACAAGGATGACACGTGATAAAGGCCTGGCGGCTTACATTCTTTTGCCCCCCATCAGGTCGGGCATCCACTTCATCTTGTAATTCCTGTTTAATCACCCGTTTCAACTGGTCGGCCACTTTATGATCATTCAACACTAAATTATCGCAACTCCATTGACTCAAAAATTCTTGATAGGACCGTCCTTGTGCCCGGGCTTTCAAGAAAAATAAAGCATAATGGCCACAGGTTTGACTATCCAGGGCTTGCAGGGTCTGGTCACTGCGCGTCAGGTACTTCCATTGACCCCACCATTGGTGCAACTCCGGGGTGGTGTACACGTGCAGGGGTAGACCATAACTGTCAAAGATCTCGCACTGGTTCTTTTCGGTCCACAGGCCCAACCAATGCTGGCCCGGTTCTCCCGCGGGGTCCGTGTTGACAATGTAGGCTTGACGGATCTCCTTGGCGGGGGATCGGGGGAGTTGGTCGGCGGGATGCACCCCATGAAACACGCGTCGTAATTCGGGGTCTTCCAAGGCCAGGGTCCGCAACACAGTGTCACTGAGCGCCACAAACTCCATGCTCGGTGTCTTTTGATTTCTGAGGCCACTTCAGCCGTTGATGTTGTACTTTATACCTCCCAGATGGTTGATCTCATACATGTTTTCATACTCGCTCCATACCATGACGGTGACGTTGTGTCCCACAGCCGCAGCAAAATCAATGATCAATCGCGTATTGCCCGATTGACGGGGGTTGCGATATTCAGGGTCATCGGCTTTTTGACTAGGCACATTGTTGAACATGAACAAGGTACAATTCTTGCCATTTCCCCAATCACCAGGCAGCAGCATGGGAATCTTGTGTTCATTGTAGGCACCCATGGCTTGTAGAAATCGATCGTAGCCCAGCAAATCTTCATAGGCTTGGTCTCCTGTCAATTGCAGGGTTCTGTAAGGGTATTCTTCTCCATTCAAGGTCTGTCGTACTTGGGTGACCCCAAACTTTTGAAAAGCAAAAGGGTATCTTTCCAGGTCTCCATTGAAGGCATCCGAATGCAATAATCCGACGATCACTCGATCAGGAAATCGTCCCACAAACACATTGTCTTGTTCCCATTGGGTGGTGCGTCCATCAAAGGAAAAGGTGCGAATTTCACTCCGCACCACAGGGTAGCGGGCAATCTGTTTGTTCAGTTGTCTTTCTTTTTGCAGTCTGACATAGACAGCGGCATTCAGGGTCACTTTTCTCATCAACAAGGTGACTTTGATGTCATCATTGTGGATGGCTGGAATTTTCTTGGTGACTAAGGTGCCTTTGTTGGGGGAGCCCATCAGGTAGATGGTCTTGGGGTTGAGGAACAGTTCAAAGTCCATCTGGATATTGGGGACCAACAATTTGCCTGTATGGAGGGTGGGCAAATGGGGGCGAACGATGAAGGTGTGCCAATTTTCACTCAGTAACTTGCTGGTCAGGGCACGTAACTCTGCATTGCCACTCCATCCTGCAGCCACAGGGACATCGGAATTGGCGGCGGTGGCTCCTATTTCTTCTGCTACATTCAGCTGATTGACCCATCCTTGGGGAGCTAGCTTGGTGGCTCCTTCTTCTCGGTTGTAATTCAGCAGGGTTTCTATGTAGGCTCTGTAATGGTAAGTGTTGCTCTGTTCGGTCACAAGGACGCCATTCATGCTCATGGTAATGTCTCGAAAGATGGTGTGGCCAAAATTGTTGACGCAGTAGACATGTCTGGTTTCGTTGGCATTGGAAATGAGTAGACCCGCATGCAATCCTGTATACCCACCCGCTGGATCGGTCAGGCGCACTTTGACTTTGAAGCGGAGAGAATTGAGATCGTAATAATCGTCGGAGCCAGGAATGGAGAAGGTGATGGGTTGGATGCCTGTCAAAGCGGGTTGAAACTCCACCTCCCGCGAGGCTTCGTACCGATAATCCACATCAGGCACCTCAAACAGTTCGAGCGACATGGTGCGATCTGTTTGACTGGGTTTTTAACGGCGTCTTCTTTTTATACCCTTTCGTTGCTTCCTGGCTTTGGCTTGGTTGGCCCACAACACTGTTCGGAGATCCCCCTTGCCCAACGCCCCAATAATCTTGCCCCCTTTCATGCGGCGCAGGGCCTGTTCCACCCTCCATTGAGCAGGATTGATGTCATCGGCTGCTGTGGGGAACCCCAAAGGATTTTGGCGCCTACGAGTGAACTTGCCGAAAATCGTCCCCCCTTTCATCCTGCGCTGTAGGTAACGATCCAATTGGCGGGAGGACGTGTGCATCAGCGGATAACGCGCTGTAGTCGACTTGCCAAAGATCGTGCCTCCCACTTGATACGGTGAAATAAACCGTCCACGGGCCCGTTGCCGTCGAACGCGATTTTGCGATTTGAGAAAACCTCCTACACGTACCATTGTTTTCACAGTCCAAAGATGTCCCGTACACGTTGCGTGGCTCTTTTATAGGTGTTTTGAGCGGTCCGTTTAACCTTGTGTTTCCCCGTCGTCCAAGCCATGGCGGGGGCTTTGCGTTTCAAGCCGCGACTGAGTTGGGCACTTCGATCCGCCCACGTGGCTGCGGCACTTTTGCCACGTTGAATATCTTGCAGTCCCGCTTGAGCTTGCTGCACGATCAAGGGTCCCGCCAGTTTGATCAAGTCTTCGGCCAAGCCTTTGCCCTTTTGCTGGGTGAGCACAGGCGTGTGGTACCGCGTTAAACTGCCTCCGCGCATGATTCACGTTGTGGTGCTGTATGGACCTGCCAGAGACGTGGGGGTGGCTTTTTATAGTTGTTTGAGACCAATGGTCACCAGGGTTTTGCCGGGGGGTAAAGGGGCCAAGGGTCCACTGGTACTGGCAATCTCCACTTCCAAGATGTCTAGTTGATTTCCTCGTAGTTTGATCCATTGGTGGTGCAGGGGTTCGGCTGTACTTTCCCCATCGCCGGTTCTCAACAATTGCACTTCTCGTAACAGGGGATACTTGCCACTGCCCACCACCGTGGATTCCACCAGATCTGAATAGACCATGACCGTCCGTTTGCGAGTCCCCACGATCTTTTCAAACGAGGCATCCAGGTTGTTCAACTGCCATTCCACTAGCAAGGACAATTGCAAAAACTTCACACCATCCTGGGTCACCACTTGCATGGGATCATGTTCAATATTGGCCACAATATTGCCAAACAGTAAGATAGGACTGACGCCCATGTACTGCCGGCCCTCCCAGTTGTATGCCCTGCGAAACTGATTGCCGGCGGGTTGGGTGGTCGAATCGTACGTCTTGGTGGGCAGCGTGTATTGCATATTGGGCCCCAATGGATACCAGGTCTTGTTTTGACTGGTTTTTTTGAGCACCAACCCAAACTTGAGCGCAATGTCCAGGTTGATGAAAAGGTCACTGATCGCGCTCTTGTCCGCTTTAATCAAATCCGTTTGGGGAAGGGCCTTGATCACCAAGGTACCCTTTTTCCAGATCAGTTGGGGCATGGCGTTTTGTTTGGCGCTGACAATAGGACTTTGGTCAGGTTCCGTGACCAGCAACCGCATTTGTTCCACCATCACATTGTGCATGATTTTATTGTGCACTTCTTGCATCACGCGTTTCCAAAACTGACTCCCCGTCGCCACGATTTGACTCGCATTCATGATCTCTTCCAATTCCAATGCGCAGTCCACGGTTTTGAGTTCCATCCGTCGATAGGTGCCCGACTGAAACTTGCGGATCACATACGACATTTTGAATTTCATCACTTTGGTATGCGGATCCGCGGCGATGATGGCATTGCTCTGGCCTTGATCCGGGACGGTCAGGGACATTAACGAGGCATGCCAGCCTGTGCCTGGTAAGGACATGCGTTCGGGCAGACGGACCTTGAAACTGTTGTTGGCATTGTTGGGAAACTCGTCGGTCGGATCGCTAATGAGCGTCAAGCGTTTAATCTCACTCATCATGAGGAAGAAGAGGCACGTCTAATAGGGTGCAGGGTCCTTTTTATAGCCACGTCGCCACTTTCTGTTTACTGCGAGGGACGCGTCCCACCACTGAATTGAAGGTCGATTGTTTAGGATGAAAACACACTTGCTGGGCAATGTTGGGAAAAGCCCGGGCCAGTTCCATCAGGGTCATGCAAGTCTTGGGTTTAGGGGGTTTCTTCTTGCGCATGGGGGGATGCCGTCCAGCGCGTCGGCGTTTTTTCTTGGGTGGGGACCGTAAAGCCCCTCGTTTCTTGGCATACTCTTCGGCTCGATGGTAGGCATTGGCGTAGGCCCATTGCTGCTTGGTAGGACTGGCCAACTTGTCCCACCACGGTTGGGTTTGCCGTTGTTCGGCGGCTTTCTTCTGGATGAATTTTAAGACGTCGGCGTCACTGGTGGGCGAGGGTGTGTAACTGGCCCGTGGTCGACTAGAATCCGCCAGGACTTCATCGAGAAACCGCACCCGCTTTTTTCTTTTTCGAGGCGT